GGGGCAAACTCACTACTTGTAACTTCACAATCTTTAGTTTCACACTAGTCAGTCTTTTGCACAAAAGCTTTCAACCATGTTCAAACCAAAGACTAAAACATCCAAGTGTCCTCAGCGCTTGGCAGTTGATGACAGCACCAAAGACTGTCTCCATGTTGGAGTAGCTCTTCGGAGCACTTGACACCAAAAGTGTCAAGCCAGAGGGCAGAATGAACTTGGTGTAGTCCAGATCCCAGATGAAGTCTTCCCTCAAGGCAATCACACAAAACATCTCAGATGGAAGGAAGGTACTCGGGAAGCATTCCAACCACAGCATCACATAGGAATGGCAAGCAGCAGTGTCAAGGGTAGTGTATCTGAGTCAAACTGACAGTGCAACCAAAAGGCGCTGCAGCATTTCCATCTGCATTCACTGGAGCTTCATCAGGAACTTCAGGAGCTTCAGCCACCTCTGATGCTTTTCGCTTCCTTAGAAAAGCGCAAGAACAGAACAAACCATAGTCAGTCAGAGGTCAACCTACTGAATACCTGATGAGAAAGTTTGCCTAGTCCTTTTTTCAACTTCAGTCATGTCAGACTCGACCAAGGGTCTTGGATGATGTAGATGGCCGTTCTGCACCAGTCCTCAGCTGGCATTGTAGGCTCATGGTCTTCATTGTTGTGCAGAAGCGGTCTCTTGACATGCTGAACAAGATCCAAGCCATTTTCCAACCAAGGCTCTGGTCATCATCAGAAACCTCAAGAGGCGCTTCCTCGCGATACCTCAAGGCAAAGCACAATCAAACATACAAATTGTGTGCTACACACAGCAACCTGCACTTGTTTGTTGAGAAGGGCTCTGAAAACAAACATGACATCATACAACATATCATAATGCACTACCAAGCCACTCTGCCCAGACTCCTTGTGCCTCTGGCACTTCACCCTCATCATCCACATCCCCCTCACCCTTCACCCTGTTGTGCTCCTCCATCCTCTTTCGATCCTGAGAGGTAGTGCAGCAAAGATACAGTGTGAACACCCTGGACAGCCTGTGAAGCTGGACACCCATCCCTGCACCATACCCTGAGTTAAACCAATGCTTCCACCACCTACAGGCAGCCAAGGTTCTCTGCGCAATTGCGCAGGAGTCTTCTTCTTCTTCCAAGGGGCGGCATAGATCGTGAGGTTGTGGATGGTGCAGTTATGCATCATATGAGCTGGATCCGCCATGGCCAGTTGCATGTAGCCGCTTGAAAGGCCAACGATGATGAAATTGCAAGCCAGTGGTGGTGAAATGACTGAAATATCAGTGGTTTTTTGTGTTTGAAGCAGAGAGATGTTGAATGAAGGTGGTTGGACATTCCTATTGTGGACCTTATTCCCCTTAAACATATTGTAGAAACTCCTAGCATGGCAGTTATTGTTTATGAGCTTGGCTGAGGTCATGCCAATTGAAGCTTCCCAGCATGGAAGTTGCCCTCTATGATCATGAGTGCCCACTGTGATCATGAGTGCCCATCTGAACTGTGGGGCTGCGGTTGCACATATGGCAACTGTGAGCTTAGCAATCAAAAAGCAGACACTGAAATAGGAGCATTGAGGAACTGACTGTGTCCAGGATCATCTGCTGCACACACGCCCCAACCTGCAAACAAGTAGTAAAGTCATCACTCAAAGAAGGCAGCAGAAGACATGACTCAAGACTCACACACAACCTGCAATGCAATAGAATTGTGAAAGGACGTGCGCCAAGAAAATTTGTTCTGCTTAGTTCATTCAGAGACACTGTTTGTTTTTGAGCTGCCTACAATGGTGCTTAAAGATATTCCAGCCTGTGAAAACATGCCTATAGCCATCAAGCAAGAACAGCCACATGGTGGTGCAATACATGTCAGCTTCAAATTAAACCAAATAGCTCAGGGTCCAACGTCCTCCACACTGCACCGCATGCAGCATGCATCCAGCCTCAAGCCATTGGACAGTCACAAAGTACAGGATCCACTGCAAGCACATGACAAAAATATATGCACAGTGAACAACAGGGATAAACAAAAGTCATCACAAGATTGACTGCCAGACTGAGGAAAAGCAGGATCATTTGCTGAGTGTGCACCCCAACCTCCAAACAAGTAGAAGTCATCACTCAAAGATGGCAACAGAAGACATGACTCAAGACTCACACACAGCCTGCAATGCAACAGAAGTGTGAAAGGAAAGGATGTGCACCAACACAGTTTGTTTTGCTTAGTTCAGACATCCCATAGTCTCACACCAGAACCCAACACTGCAGAATAGCAAGGTTGGGCATAACTCCTGGATTTCCAAGAGTTAGTCCAGCTTCTGGAATTCCAGAAGCTGGTGGGCAACAGAAAATTAGAGTTAGTCCAGCTTCTGGAATTCCAAAAGCTGGTGGGCCCAAAGACAATTAAAGAAAACGCATTGATTCTCACACACTGACACTGTCACAACTCTGACAGTTATGCATTACTCCTGGAACTCACCAGATAGATGGGCAAACTTTGACTTGGGGCCACCAAGTCATACCTTCATGCAAGTTCACCCCAGGACGAACTCAGTAGCACAGCAGTGTGCATTTGTCCTTAAACCTAGTGGAAGGCAAACTTTGATTTGGCCTTCAAACCATACCTTCATGCCAATTCATGCCAGGATTCAGTGTAGAAAAACAATGTGCAATTGGTTCATCACAACAAATGGAAGGCCAACAACTTGCTGCCAAAGGCATTATCTCAGTCCCAGGTCATGCCTGGCTGGTGGAAAACAATACAACATTGGTCAATCATCCTCACCTGCCACAAAGTTAACCCTGGGTTTCACACGCGAACCCTGGAAAGGTGTAGAATGATGTGTAAAGGTGAACACAGAAACGACCCCCCCAAAGCCAAACTGTTCCAAATGCTTGGTCGGAGCCATTCTTAGCCCTGTTATTTCCCATCATTTCCCGAAAAGGTCAAAAAGCAGAAGTGACAGATCACGATAGATCGTGCATAATTTGTTTTCAATATACTTTATATGTCCTTATAGCATAGAAAAAAGGGAAGAAAAGTGTATTGCGGTACCCAGGTTCTAATTGAAACACCATCAACCCATATCTTTGTGCCAGGCTAGGGTGGATAATAACCAAATCCTAGTGTTCAGTGTGCCAAAGCTGGAAACTAGACTCTAGTGACTCTAGTGTGCACTTTGCAGCGCATTCCTCTTTTTCAAGAGGCTCTATGTTTATTAAGTTAGGCTACTCTAAATCTTAATGATGATGACCTGCATCTAGCACCTTTCGGCGCATTCCTCTTTTGCAAGAGGTCCTAATTAAACAGAAAAAATCCACATCACACCCCCCCCTGCCCCATCCCACCCCCCCTGCCCCATAAGCTCCATGACACTGGTGCTGCTGAAGTCGCTGGGGGAAGCTCTGAAGGTGAAAGGGCAATTGGGCATTTGGCAATTGGGGTTTGTAAGCCTTTTCCCCATCACCCCAATACAAATATGTGTTCAGTGTAGTGTAGTGGGTTCAGGGTGTGCCCCTCAAACTAAAAACTAGTGACTAGTTGAACCTTTCACCATCCACTCCCTCACTCGATCACCCCAATACAAACATCTGGGATCAGTGTGGTGGGTTCAGGGTGTGACCCTCAAACTAGTGACTAGTTAACCCTTGCACCATCCAATCCCTCACCCCATCACCCCAATACAAACAGCTGGGATCAGTGTAGTGGGTTCAGGGCATGCCCCTCAAACATGAAGATAAAACTAGGGACCACTTAACCTTTCCCCTTCCAATCCCTCACCACATCACCCCAATACAGTCATATGGGATCAGTGTGGTGTTGCATGTTCATGGGTTGATGCCCAAAGATAAGAAATGCAACCACATTGTGATCTTCTAGGTGGCATGCCTGAACTCATCCCACCACCCATCCACCCATCCCATCAACGCATCACCCATTCCAAGTTCCATGATGCTGATGCTGTAGAAGTCTCTGGAGAAAGCTCTGAAAGGGCAGCTGCAGGGAACAAAACCTTTTACACAAACCCACTCAACCTGTTCCCCATCCAATCCCTCAACTCCTTCACACCAATACACATATATGTGATCAGTGTAGTGTACTGGGTTCAGGAGGTGTCCCTCAAACATAAAGACAACTAGTGACTATCTAACCTTTTCACTTTCCAGTCCCCCACCCCTCACCCCAATACAAAATATGGGATAAGTGTAGTGTAGTGGGTTCAACAACTAGTGACTGTTTAACCTTTTCACCATCCAATCCCTCACACCACCACCCCAAGACAAAGATATGGGGTAGTGTACTGGGTTCAGTGTTTCCAAACATAAAGATACAATTAGTTACTAGTTAACCCTTTCACCATCCAATCCCTCACTCCATCACCCCAATACAAACAGGAATGAAAACTCCAAATAGAAATGAAAACATCAACTAACAGTGAGGTGGCTTTCATGTGTTTTTTTTCATATAAATGTATTTCTCCATTTTTGTTTTCCATTGTTTTCCCCATGGTGGTCAAGGACTGGCTCCTTTGAAGCTTGGGACGTTGGCTGGATGTCGGTGATGTTTCGGAGGCAAAATCAAAATCGGAAAGGTGCACATTAAAAAAATAGAGGACGAACATGGAAAACACATGAAAACACCATACTTTGGAGACTCCAGGGGAACTTGGGAAACTTAATTCGAAACAGGCAGGGGCACTTGGATTTGATGGGTTTGATTGAGGACATGTGGTGGTGCATCAATCCACATGCACCCAACGACTTGATATTATGTGAAGATGGCCATGGATCAAGAGAATCCTGAGATCACTCTAGAACTAAATGATTTAAATGAGCAAGAATGATAGACGGAGAACCCAGGGTTCTTTGGTCGTGATTTCGAAGCTCAGCAAGCTTTTGCAGCTCTCAGTGCGAAATCCTGGAGTGTTCCCCAGCTCCATTTGGACTCCGGAAGAATTTGGGGACTTGCATCGAATGGATTCCACGGGTGCCAGAGGTTGCCAGCCAACGTGGCGCTGAGTGCATCCCTTTGGTCATGGAGTCCCAGACCCTAGAGCGATGGCGGCGGTGTGGGGCGATAGGAGTGGGGGTTGGTGCAGATGGGCGAGAGTTTTCATGGCCCTCTTTTTGGAGGTGCCTTGAGCGAAAAAGATCTTGGATGATGTAAGGCTGCTCATCTTGATGGTTGGGATCTCTACATACTCCTTTCTGGCTAGGCCTGGTCGGTCCAACGTCTCTTTCGGTGTCCAAACAGCTCACGGCTTACGGCAGAGTGGTCCTGCCGCTGACCGGCCCGCCGACGGACGCACCAAGCACCGGCCGTTGCTTCGTGGAACTCGTATTGGCTTCGTTCCATGGTTCCAGGATGCTGGAGAAAGGAACAGCTGAATCATTTAGGCAATCCCTTTTTTGTATCTATCGTGTTGTTTTCAGGATGCATTGCGCATGTGGGCTGGGCATGTGGAGCTTCACTTTATAAAGATTTGCCAGGCTTCCTGCCCTCCAGCCTTCACGAGGATTCTAGATTTAATATAGTACGTGATGGGTTTACGTGCTTCAATGAATGGGTGGTAATTTGTTTAAGGGAACATCTGCAGGAAACCCTGGTTTTCATCTCCAAAACTATTGCTTTCCTGTAGATGTTTCCCTTCAACCCATTCATTGAAGTGCTGGGATCTTGCCGTGTTGCCACTTGATAGCGTAGGCGTCATCCCTGTCGCCCTTCCTGTCGCCTCTCTCGGCTCAGGGGACTCCCCCAGCGAACGCAACGGTGTTGTGCTGGAAAACGAGGTATCTCGGTGTCTCTCCAAATCCCAGACACGACCCATGGGACTGCCATGGGACTTGCCGATCAATTGACCCCAAACCATTTGAATGGAGGTAAATATGCCATACATGGAGTGTCTGGAAATGATGGGAACATAACCTCTCAGATACTGGCAACCTCTCAGTGTCAGAGTGTCATGCCTCTCAGATCACCTCTCGGTGTCTCTTCCAGTGTCCAGATGTATGTCCGAACCAACCAGACCTCAAGTGAACAAGTACTCCACCGAACCAACCCTTGCCCCTTGGCTTCGGGGTCACTGCCACTCGATCTGATCATATCTGATCTCTTCAGCATGCAACATCTACGTCAACATTGTAATATGCCCCACGGGGTGACCGATTTTCCCATCGCACCACAAGCACCACACACCTTCTTCACGTCGTTTCACCACTCTGCGCGAAGAAACGGTCATGGGCCTGCCATGTAAGCCATGGCTTGTGCTTGGCGTCCTTCTTTTCACGGCCCTCTGGCTAATCGCCTGGCAAGTAGGGAAGTTTTTGGCCTGCGAAGCAGTGAATTCTTTGAGCGATGGCCGTGGAGACTTCAGCAGTAAGACAGGGGCGAAGCGCAAGAAGACCTGTTTGCGACCTGGCGAAATGGAGCAGGGTTTTATGACACGCGACTGGAGAGGGCCGGAGGCCTGATCAGTCGAAGCTCGTTTCTCTTTGTTTACTGCGATATAGGAATCCTTTCTGTGCACTTTGGGCTCCAAACTCCAAAGTTCTGTGGTTAAGGCAATGGCAAAAAAACGCCACGTCTAGACTGTAGGAACTTAAAGTTGCTAATGGTGTTCAGATACCTTCCAAAGCGCTGTGTCTGGGTTCTTTCCCAGACACATCGTTGTAAGGACGGAGGTTTAACCATCAGGTTCAAGAAACGGAGGGGCAGGCAGGAAAGAACAGAGCCTAACATAGCCTAACTTCTATGAACATATATCATACCAGGACCCTCCTGTCGGGGTGTCCAATGAACTACCCCACACTACCTATAGGCTTCCATTGGGCACCCCTTGGAGGGTCCTGGTATGAACAGTAGCCTGCTTTTGCAAAAAGGTTTATGTTATATAATTGTTTATAATATGACATTGTTATATATTGTTTATACCAGGAGTCATAAACGAGTGCCTAATGGAGGATAGGGGTGCCCATTATCCACTCGCTTAGGGACTCACAAGTACCCTTTTGTGACGGTATATGTTCTTTTTTCCTGACCTGAGAATATGTTTCTAGCTTATAAATCTTATATACCCGTTCCTGAACAGCAAATCCAAATTAGTCAACACGCCATTGAATGGATTACTGGGAGATGTGAGGAATCTCACGGAGTCGAATGCCACAGTTCTTCCGACCGCATCGGGTGGATCCCAAAATCACAGAAGCCCCCGGATTGGTGTCCATCTTCGGTCGGATTTGTGAATCCATTTCGACCGACACCGGCCACGCGCCTGGCGCGAGCGACGCCCGCGCCGGTGGTTGATGGTTTTTCCCCAACCACCGGCCCTGCCATTCGGAGGGGCGGTGGACGATCATGAGGTTCACCATCTCGGCCTTCAACAACTATGGCTTTGTGAAGTCTTTCTTGGGTCGCGTAGAGGCACTACATCCTGAGATTGGCTTCTTGGAAAGAGTGTGAGAGAGGGATAGGTGATGGTGGGAAGGTTTGGACATGGACGCACGAAGCAAAGCCACAGCAGAACAAGGGGCATCTTAGTGCAGCTGAGCTAATAGGACGAATATGGCTAGATGATGCGAGATGAATCTACCGTCATGGGAGAGAATGGAGCTCTTGCGCCACACACACACACACACGACCAAACACACCTACGTTGAGGGATGGCACGTTGGTCCAACCCGACGTCTGAGTCTGGGTATAGACCTTCTCATGCCATGAATCCACGTTGGACTCCAGACCTTCCTCGAACGTCGATCAACTGAACCTCACGGGTCATTGGATCAACGGGCTTGTACTTGTACTCAATTTCTGCGAAACGAGCCTGAAAAAGTGAAGAGTTGAACATGTGCAAAGATTTGGACATAGATTGTTTTCCAGCCCTTTCATGACCCTGTCCGCTTCTCCTGAAAGTGGATTCCTGTATGAACTTCCCATGCTCTGTGATCCTCCAAGTCAGCCCCAGTTCGCCCACACCGGGATTTCGACATCGATAGTTCCGATAGGTCGATATTTCCACGATTGATCAGCATCAGCTCGGTCCCCTTAAACAAAAAAGACACACACACACATGCAAATATCTCCGTGGTTTGGAGCCTCACGTTTGTCCGCCAGGTTGTTTCATCTGGGTGGTGGCGGACAACCGTCGCGTGTGGTCGCGGCATGGCGATCCGCTTCTTCCCGAACAGATCTTGGATGATCTTCCAGACCGGTGGTACAGTGTCATGGCGGAGAAGCTGCAACCCTACTTGAGCCATGGATGAATCCATCGTTGAAATCCATCGTTGACCAAGGGGAAGAACTGGGATGAAAGGGGATGAATTACGGCAAGTACAACGCTGAGCCGGAGTAAACCTCTGGACCACGAAGATGCACCAACGTTCATCCAATCATCCTTTCTCATCCTTTCTCCATGTTTGTGGCTTTTGTCGAAACAAGGGATACCAGGCCATGCGGCCCACATCGCTCTGACCGGGATGTGGCGTCTTCGATCTCGTGCGTATACCCGGGGGACGAACGGCCCGGTCACAAGCGGATCGTCCGAAGGAATTTCAGTGTCACCGAGCTAGCCTTCCGCTACAACTTGCAGTGTTTTAGTACGGCCATCAAGCCGGCGGCCTTCAAGCTTCTTAGATGGTGAATGCCGATGTTGACCCGGAGAAATACGCGGCCGACGCGACCGGGATTGTCTATTTTCCCCGCAGGCAGATGGATTAGATCCCAATGAGCCTCGTGAACCATTTGATTAAAGGGTGAATGGGTGAGCGTGCCATTTGCGCTCACGTTTCTCCAGCGAAGCCAATTCCTTGGGTGTCAGAGCTATCACTCACATGGCCAGAGCTGGCCAGTACTGGCCAGATTGATGCTTTTGAGAACCAACGCTGCCCTTCCTTTTGAGTACATGACATCTTTGGGTGGCCCTTTTTCTGATTCGAATCGTAGAACCCTAAGAATCCCTACGGGCCCTCCATGGGCAGGGGTCGGACCTTCTCCACCGACACCGACCCGGGGTTCCGGACCCGGTTCCCAAACCCGAACTAAAGATGTTGCGAACCGGGGCCCGGATTCTTAGGGAAGACTCCATCAATCGTCTCTCGGGCCCTCGAGGTTCATCTTTGATCGCTTCGCTGCGCAGAAAGTCTTGTACTTTGACAACGACATTTGGATCCTGCAGCCCTTGACCACCATCATTGACGCGTTGGATCGTTATAACATGGTGGTCACACCACATGCCACCGAACCATTCCCAGTGGATGGTCGAACTCAGGACGAACGGGCCATCATGCTCGCTGGCCAGTTCAACTTTGGTTTCCCGGATCGATTGCTGGTGGTGTATGTTGCCGTATGTTGCAGCCCTGGCCCAAGGGGATGACTGTTGTCCTTGATGTTCCTTCTTCAGGGGATCGGAACGCCTGGGAGGTCTCCAATCCATCTCCAATACAGGGCCATTTTATCAGTTGGGTTCTGCCCCCCAACCTGCATGGCATTCCAATCTTCATCATGAGATCATGCCAAACATATCGTCTGACCCTCGGTCGCTCGGCACGGGTGGGGAGAACCAACATCAGCAGGTCAGCTGGGGCCAGGGTCTTCGTTGTTGGTCTTGTTGGGATTTTATAGAAAAGGATACCGTTAACGGTGCCGGCCGCAGTGGCCTCAAACATCATCAACCAGGACCGCATGCCAGTGGCCGGAGTCAGTCGTGACCGGCCTGTTCGGTCTTGGGAACGGTCGTAACCATGGATAACAGTCGTTGACCAAACGATGTGTGAACTGACAATCGGCATATGTGGATTTGATTTAGGTATATTTGGGTAGACTCCCTGGAACTAACATAGAAGTGGAGAATGGCCCCTTGGAAGACCATGAAACCCACTACAAACAGGTGGTGCCATCCACGTAACCATGTTGGTTCCAGGGAGAGTATATCGGAGGGTTTTTCACAGATATCAACGTCTCGGCGGCTAGGGCTCTGCCCAAAGAGGTGGAAGCCAATTCCTCACGCCGATGGGGCGGAGTTGTTTTGTGCGCCACGGGGTGCACT